CAAAATTGTTCACCTTTTTGACTTTTACCACTAAAACATTATTTACCTTTTTTCACTACGTTGACACGTATATGATGGTGAAAAAGCAATGGTGGATAAAACTGTGGGGACTTTGCACAATCAAGGGAGTGGCACCAAAATGTACTAAGTGTCACTGTGTTCTCCATCAGCATTTCACTTGAGAATGTTCCTGATGAAGGAGTAAAAATGATTGATTTTATTAAATCTCAACCACTGAGTGCATATCTAAGTGCATATCTTAGATATCTGCATATCTAAGAACTGAGAGATACACATGAAACATCTCACTGTGTACTGAAGCGTAGTAAGGAAAAAGCATTTGTGTGACTGTCTGAGTCATGAGTAGCTGAAGCAGCTGCTTTGGCACGCATTACCATTTGTGCCTGAAAGAACAACAGGTAGACAAACTATAGCTCTTCAGACGCGAATATGCGGCAAACATTTTCTCCAATGTGAACAAAGTGAGCGTGTCACTTCCAGGAAATTAACTCACAGTATTTGTTGCCAATGATACAACTGAAGCTTTCAAGCAAAAATTCGAGTTTTGGAAAACTTGTACCTACCACTGTGAGCTTGACAACTTCCCAATACTTAAAAACTCACTGGATAAGATGGGCGTTCAGAATAACCCATGTGACTTTGTTGATAACGTATAATGCACTGTATCAACATTTGGATGATTTGTATAACTGAGCGAGCCAATTTTCCAAACTCTGAAAGCATTATATTCCAAATCATACATGGGTAGAAGATCCAATCAAAGTGCAATCCAAAACAACAGTTTTAATATAAGAGAGCACAGAAAGATCAAGGATAGGGTTTCTGACTCCACACTACACCTAGTCTTTAAGAATTTATCATTTGTTGAGTTTTACAGTAGCATCAAAGAACACCCAAAATTACACCATAGGCTATTAAAGCACTCCTCCCTTTTCTACCTTGTATCTGTGTAAGGCTGAAAGCTCTTCATTTTCTTCAGCCAAAACGACAAAAATTGAATACAGAAACAAACACGAGAACCCAGCTGTGTTCTATTAAGCCAGACATGTGACTGTAAAATGATGTCACTTTCATTATTTTTTTCTTTTTGAAATGCTGTATTTCCATTTTCCATCAAGAGATGCTATTCATGTCAACCTATAAATGGATCTATATATGAATTAACCTGTAAATGAATTAAACAAATATTTTTAAAATGTCTTGGTTTTAATTTCTAATATGCCAAATATCAACAGATATTACATAAACAAAAGCTTTTTAAGGTCCTCAACAGTTTTTAAGAATATTAAGGCATCCAAAGATCGAAAGATTTAAGAATAGCCAACCTAGGATAATAATTATTTGAACAACCACACTGAGGAGTGCCTGCTTTATACTATGCTGGGTACTGGAGCATCTGAGAGAAAAGGCAACAGCCTTGCCCTCAAGGGATTTCTAATTTCACCGGGAGTGTAACTCTCAATTATAATAATTTTACTGTAAAGAAAAGAAACCCTTCATTTTAGCTTTCTTACAGGCATGTTTTTGTTTTTTTTTTTTGCGGTACTCGGGCCTCTCACTGCTGTGGCCTCTCCCGTTGCGGAGCACAGGCTCCAGACGCGCAGGCTCAGCGGCCATGGCTCACGGGCCCAGCCGCTCCGCGGCATGTGGGATCTTCCCGGACTGGGGCACGAACCCGTGTCCCCTGCATCGGCAGGCGGACTCTCAACCACTGCGCCACCAGAAAAGCCCTTAAGTGGGGTTTTTAAAGAAGGATTCGGGCCAACTTAGTAGCATTTCCTAAGTAGGATGAGGATTTTCCACATCCTTATTTTTGGAGGTAGCTATACCAGCAATTGAGAGCGAGTGTTGAGTGTAAAACACGAAGGCTGGGGTTACATGCAAGCACCCCCTTATCTAACCACATCATGTCTGAACCAGGCAAACAGTGTTCTGACCTGCATTTCAGCTTTGTCGACCACTTTCCTAATTTCTAACTCACTAACTTGTTCTCTGCAAAAATGCTTCTAATGACTGAATCGGAAAAGCAATAGGAGAGCAACTCTGACCTGACTCAACTGAAACGCAACCATTCAGAACTGGAGCCAATGCACTTTAAACATGTGCATTCTTTTCCCTTCTGCATATGCATCACCTCGAATGTCGTGCAAATTCACTCTTGGCCTCCATGACATAATGATGCTCCCCGGGATCTCTACGGATTCTGCTATGAAGGCGAAGCGCCTCCTCTGGCTTATTTCATTGTGGAATGGGTACTAAGTTCAGGCTTTGGGACGTTCCTCTCTGAATTGATTGCTTACTGTTCTCGTTAGGCTCTCTGGATGTTCACCAGTTCTTTCCAAACATTTGGCTCTGAATTAAATGTGGGTAAACGTTTCAAAACTGCACACTATATATGAGTAGTATACACTTATTTTACATTTTTAACACCATGTACAAGCTGTGGCAACATCTGGTGTTTTGCAAACTTGGCCACATCCAGATGCATTTCCTTTTCCGAATGTGTCCTCTGACATGTGAGGGCTGTATTTCAATATGAATTTTACACTCTTTCTCTCTCTCTAGGATAGCACTGCGAGATTTCAAACATGCATTGTACCTAAACTTTATACTTTCCCTCTCTGAATGGAAAATCTAAAGCTTGCCAATTAATAAAATGAGAACAAATGTCAAGCTGGACTAAACATATCACACGAATCTCTCCTTCACTTTTCTATACCTTATTTGACTTAGTAGAAAACTACCTCTTAACATAATTTACAGTAAAAGAATATCTTGTTGAGAATTACACCATCTGAGCTAAGAGAAAGCAATGCCACGACTAACTGACTCAATCCCTACTGGGTCAGCTATGCACCTTTTCCTCAGGAAAAAATGCACACATGTCCACAAACAACTGTGCCATACATTTTCTCGTGGTTGGAGGGCATCTTAAAGATATACAATTAAGAAACTAAGGTGATGAGAATGTGCTGTAACTCAAAGCCATCTGACTTAAAACATCATAAATACCAACTAAAACTGAGTAGACTGTACATCCAACTCCTAAGTTTGTTTAATCAGGAGTAAGTAATTGCTGTCGGGAAGTCTAGGCTGTCTGTCCACCCCATACCGTGCTCACAATTAGCACGTGGCCCTGGCTGGCCTGCTGGGCTTTGTCTCTGCCCTCATATAAAATATGTAAAACCTCCTGCACCCTGGGCCCCTCCATCCTCCTGGCCAGTCAGGTCGTTTGTCAAGCTCCTTCAGCCGTTTCATAGGTCCCAGCTCTGGAGCCATTTCCTTGGATTTCAACTCCCCACTTGGTTCAGCCCCTTCCCTCCAGTATGTACTTGTGGCACTGCTAGTACTTACTTGGACTCAAACCTCTTCTCATCCTTGGAGATGCACCCAGTATTTGCTGGACTCTTGTCTTTCCCCAGACATTGTGAGGTTCCTGCCGGGCTTTCCTCATTTAGACTCAGCCCTGCTCTGGAAACATCCCGAGACAGGGTGCTCCGCTTGGACTGAAAATGTTTGGGGCTCTCTGGCCCCACTGTTCTCCCACAGTCCCTACAAAGGCTCCAGGTCCCTTGACTCTAGCTGTTTGTTTCTATGACTTCTTAGAAATAGTACCATTCAGTGGTTAAGAGCAAAGACCCTGGAATAAGCCTCCTTGAGTTCAAATTGTGGCTCCTCTATTACCAAATTAACTTTGTTGAACCTCTGTTTCCTCACCTATTAAAAGTAGGATAACACTATCATCTGTTTCAAGATTCCTCAGTCACTGCCTCTGCCTGAAGAAGGCAGAAGTTAACAGAGATTCCTGAGGCGAAACCACGTAGCTGGTTAAGTGGCAGGTTCAAACTTCAAAGTCATATGACTCTAAACCCGTGCTCTTTTCAAATATATCACGCTACATCCCTTTACAATCATCCTTACTTTTTTCCTTAAAAACAACAAAAATGATTATCTCCTCTTTATAGCAGTGGCTGTAAAATTTAAAACCAAGTTATTAACTAAATTCATTGAGTTACAATAATAAGGAAATGAAGTCATTGGTTATCCACAACTATTAACCTAGCAAGTTAGTTAAAACTAGCATTCCCCACAGATGTTTGAACATCTACCTGGGCCAACCTCCAGATGAATGACTTGGATTCTTAGCCTCTACACTCAATTTGCATGATAATAATAGCTATAACAAAAATTCACGGGATAGGGTCCTGGGCAGACTTGCCAACTTGGGGGAAAGAGAAGGCAGCAGCAAAGGAAGGGAAGAGAAAATGAAAGGAAGTTCCAAACGCAATGCAGTTCAGCAGTTGAGACCAGCAGCTGGGAGATTTTCTAGGAGAGATGATGCCCCGTGTCCGAGCAATGAGAAATTCACATTTGTTGAATAGTGAGAGGGCAAGAAGGGGAGGAGAATAACCCACATTATCTATTTCGTGTGAAACTCTACAATGTTAAAGGATCGAGAGAAGTTAGAGTCCAGTTAAAGGGCCCAGACCTGGGCGTGGAGCGGACATTGGAAATTGCCACACAGACTCACATGGGTAATTCTACCACCAAGTCATGTACTACGTAGCATTCTCGTGAAACTGTTTTAAGACCTGGACTGAATCGTCGCTAAGTTGGTAGCCTGGCTCTGAGTGCAGGTAATGTGGGCTTGGCACTGGAGGTTCTTTCCACTTGTCAATTGGAAAGAACAGGATGGAATATTTACTATAAAATGCCATATTATGAGAACTATAACATGAACAAAATGTACGTGCAAATTAGAACAGTTAAGCCTGATTTATATTGCCTGCACAACTGTGATAGAGGAAAATGATCTCCCAATTAAAATACCTCATGCTTAACAAAAAACGAAACTGCCAAACATGTAAGTATTCCCTATTTCAAGAAAGCAAATAAAAACAAAATCGACAGAATGTAAGAGCAATTTTCATTTCTTCTAAAGCGGCCAATCTACTTTAAACTCTTATCTTTTTGGTTACCTTGGTCACAGCTTTTGGAGAAAAGGTCACTGAATCCACCACAGTGATGAGGTCACCTGGGAGGAGACGATCAAAGTACTTCATGCAGGCGTCATAGGCGCACAGCCACTCGGGGGAGGATGCCGGGACTTGTTTAACGAGGTGAGGGTCTCCAGTCCAGAACAACTTCTGTAACCAGACGGTGTACAGAGAGCTTGGGGAAAGCATGCGCCCATCCTTCTCAGGGATTTTGGGAACAAGTTTGGAAATGGATAAGATATTTTGACTTGAAAGGACTGGCTCCAATGCCTCAAGAGGATTCATGTTTTCATCTGTCAGCTTTTTGTAATTAAGACCTATCGTAAAGAAAAGGGGAAAAAAAGAGAGTAGTTCATTCCCAGATAACCACACAGGAGCTTTCAAATACACACACAGCCCCTCTGCGTGGCTGAATGAAAAGATTTAGTTACAGCACAGCTTCGTTTGTCAATGAGATCCATCAGAAGATCTGAGTTCCAATCCCTGCCTGCAACTTAACCAACTGTGCGACCCTGAACAGGTCACTCAACCGCTGTGAGCCCGTGTCCTCATTTGTATCCTGGAGATGGCAATATCTCTTCGCTTCTTCAATCCCCCCATGGCACCTATGTCTTCTATCAGTGCTCTCACCAAACTGCACTATATTCGTTATTCATCTAGTACCTCATCAACTACCTGAAGGCAGGGATTGAATCTTACTCCCTCTCCTCTGTGTCTAGTCCAGGGTCTAATTCAGCTACTCAGTAAACCACTGCTAAACTGAAGTAAATACTCAAAGTTGTTATGAATAGCAGATGAATGCAGCTTTGCAAGTGCCTTGTAAATTGTAAAGTATCATACAGATTTGAGAGGTATTAACACGGTTAATTTCTTAGTTATGAGCTACAGACACCATTCTAAAGATTTCCACAGGGCTTCCCTGGTGGCGCGGTGGTTGGGATGCAGGGGACACGGGTTCGTGCCCCGGTCCGGGAGGATCCCGCATGCCGCAGAGCGGCTGGGCCCGTGAGCCTGTGCTCCACAACGGGAGAGGCCACAACGAGAGGCCCGTGTACCGCCAAAAAAAAAAAAAAAAAAATTCCACAATTTATCAAAGATTCAAAGGCTCTTATTTTAAGGGTTCCATACATACTTTAAACATGTGGTCCACTGAAGTGAAATCCTGCCAAATTGCCTATTGGGAAGCGTTTCAGTCTTGTCATTTATGTAGATAAAATATAACCAGTGGAAGCAGGGAAAACACCTCTGGCGTACTAGTCAGAAACTTTGGATTTTAGTACCAGGTCTGCGTTAAGTCATTGTGTGACTTAAGTTTCTCCAGTATTTAATTCCCTCAACAGTAAGTAAAGGAGTTGGAGACAGAATAAAGTCTATTAGCATAAAAATACTGTGGTTTCACAGTTATGCCAGCCACAATGCAGGAACAGGACTGTATATAGAAAATTGCCCTAGATTACATTTAAAGAATGAGTTCAAGCAGGAAAATGATTAACTTACCTGATGCAACGACCTTAAATTTCTTTAGCAGCCGAATGTGGGTTTCTGGTTTAATGGTGTATTTCCCCAAATCTGCACAGCCACAGCTTTCCAGCAGAGTGAAATAATACAGCAGTCTTTCATGATCAAAGCCATCAATCGTGGGATAAATATACTTGACCATGTGCTTGTGAAAGGCTTCGGGACTGGTCTTCAACGTCTCGAAGAGATGAAGGGACTGGGCTCGACTTTCAATTTCTACTGTGGACAAACTGAAATTAAGAGACAAAGAAAGTATGTTAAGATTGGTAAGATTTGGTTCCTTTATTAAACAACATGTTTTTTGTTTGTTTATTTGTTTGGAAACCTAGGAAGAAAGGCTACTTCTTACAAATCCCTTCTTGCTGCCTAATCAAAGACAGGAAACCACCAGTGTGTGCAGGTAGTTTATATAAAGGGAAACAAACGTGTTTCAAATGGTACTATATGATTTTCACGTTGTCTCATGCGGGGGTCTACAGCACCCTGTAGTTCTCTACAGAGAACTGCCCAGTGCTTACTAGCTAGGAAATGAACCCAGATCTGTCACCTTCTACTATGCATTATTTATTCATACCATAAGAAAAATTTAAAACCTGAGCTTCCTTAGAGAAATGTAAACAAATTTATTATTTCAGGAATTTAGGAAATAGAGAAGTGAAGAAACAACCCCAACTTTTAGGCATAAATTTTATATCAGAGGCTTGAACTGACAGTAGACATAACCTTGACACTGTGTTCAAACAGAATTAAAATAGAAAAGAAGAGATACTCGCACTTTCACTTGAATTACCTGTAGTAACGAATGCCACTTGAATAAAGCACACATCAATATTTTCATCCTGCCTTAGCTGTCTTTATAATGTTATTTTTTTTAAGTCATTTAAGGTTAAACTCTTGAAAAAAAAATTTAAGGACTTCTGCTTGGTTGATCAGTTTGTGTTTTTTGGGTGACGGGGAGGGCTTAATTTTGGTCTCATGCTTCTCCCTGGACAGAGCACAGTGCCTCCTGCCCAGCATAATCCCAATACCCCAAGCGGGATGAGTTTCAAGCTTTCTAACCGTAAGAGGCCTTCAAGCAGCCTTTGGCACTAACAGAAACTCCCAGCTGCCAGGGTTCGTAGAGTAGCAATGAAAGTACCTAGGAGCAGGAAGTGAGACCTCTGACAGGATCGAAGTTAGGTTTCATATCATTTAAAAGCTACTCTTCTGAAATACGATACCCTGTTTATTGGAATTCCCCCTAAGTGCCAAGACATGTTTTTCTTTTACGGAAAGTTAGTACACAATATACTTTAAAATTTGTATCAGGATGTGATAATACTTGGGATAGCAGCGATTTATAAAGTCAAAGTATCAAGCAATTCAAAAATGCTCTTTTAACTTTCACTTCAAGAGAAACCCTGTTTTTCTATTAAGACACGGTTTAAACATTTACAAAAATATCCCTATCTATAAAGATGTCCCAGAGTATCCGTCTATTCATAACCTGCTTTAACTATTTATTACTTTGCCTGTCTCCCTCACTACACCATGTACCACCTGATGGCAAAGATGATACCACATCTTCTTCAGCTTTAGCTTCTCAGTACCAAGCACCAGCGTGTGGTACAAAGGAAACACTCGACACGTGTCTTATGAATGCCAAAGAGACGGGAGAATGAACAAAAACTTAGGTGTCCTCTACGGACAAGGCCCTGTGCTCAGCACTGGGGAGGGTATAGAGTTACAACACAGAGCTCTCATCCAGCAGTTGCATTATACGTACTTAAAAAACACTGCGGAATAATGGTGTGGGCTGACAAAGGACATGCAATTGTATTCCAGTTACGAGTGGGGTCACTAAAGCTGTCATGTCAGAGGAGGTAGATATCGATGACACCAGAAGGCTTATTGAGAGAAGTACTTGAGCTTGGTATTGTAGACAGGAATGAAGCAGAAATAATATGAACAAAAGTATCAAGACAAGAAAGCACAAGGCCTGTACAGGAAACAGCGAGTATAAATGGACGGCTACTTCAAAACTCTTCGGACACTATCACTATGCAAAGAACGCAAGGTCAGCCCTGGGAGACACAGGCAGGCCCCGTTTGGTGCTGTGCTTTGCTTTACGGCGCTTCACAGGCATTGCATTGTTTTTACAAATGGAAGGTTGGTGGCAGCCCTGGGTCAAGCAAGTCCATTGGTGCCATTTTTTCCGACAGAGTTTGTTCACTTCGTGTCTCTGTGTCACATTTTGGTAATTCTCGCAATATTTCAAACTTTGTCGTTATTATTATATCTGTTACGGTGATCTGTGATCTTTGGTGTTCCTATTGTAATTGGGCATTGTTTTAGCAATAAGGTAACTTTTTAAAAATAAATAAATTTATTTATTTATTTATTTATTTTTGGCTGCTCTGGGTCTTCATTGCTGCGCGCAGGCTTTCTCTAGTTGTGGTGAGCGGGGGCTACTCCGCTGTGGTGCGCAGGCTTCTCATTGTGGTGGCTTCTCTTGTTGTGGAGCACAGACTGTAGGCACATGGGCTTCAGTAGCTGCAGCACGCGAGCTCAGTAGTTGCAGCATGTGGGCCCGAGAGTGTGCGGGCTTCAGTAGTTGTGGCTCGCGGGCTCTAGAGTGCAGGCTCAGTAGTTGTGGCGCACGGGCTTACTTGCTCCGTGGCATGTGGGATCTTCCCAGACCAGGGATTGAACCCACGTCCCCTGCATTGGCGGGCAGATTCTTAACCACTGCGCCACCAGGGAAGTCCCGAAGGTATCTTTTAATTAAGGTCTGCACATGTTTTTTAGACATATTTTCACACACTTAATAGACTATAGCGTAGTGTAAATGTAACTTTTATATGCACTGGGAAACAAAAACATTCATGTACTAGCGTTATTGTGATATTGGCTTTATTGCAGTGGTCTGTAACCAAACCTGCGATTTCTCCCGTACTGTACACCCAGTGGTATACGAAAGTCACAGAATTCCTGATGTTCCTTCATAATTTGCAAAGTGAAGTCTGAAAACAACGCAGTGAAGAAGGAAATAAGAAACTGCGTCATCCCATTAAGATGATTCACGTTGACAAAGACTTGCAATCAGAGCGACATGCCCAATGGAAGAGGAAAGAAACCCTGCACTTATTCCATGGATTACTGTGGCAGGCAAGTGAGAGACTGTCATCAGAGAGGTTAAGTGACGCCTAAGACCAAGCGTCCAGATCTGTCTGGACTCCGCATGGCTGGGGCTGCTCACCTAGTCACAAAGCAGCCGTCAACCAATGGCGCTTAAGCGCCCTCACTAACAACCATTTCAAAACCAGGATTCTTTCTGTGACAGACATTAGCTCTCTCTCGGGGGCAGTCGTCTAAAAGAGTTCTCCTGTCACACTTCACTGCTATCCCCTGGCAAGCAGCGTATCTGAGACTCATCTACAAAATGGACAATGGCTAAACCACAACAGCTTTAGTCCATCTGTGTTCGACTAGATTCTGAATACAGTCTCTCTCAGTCAACGTTACTTTCCCCCCCTCGCCCACCCACCTATTCTTCTGTGCCTGCAGTTTACTTTGCCTGATGTGCAATTTTCCCTAATTATCTTGTCAAGAGAGGTACTGGAATACTTTTACTGACACATGATAAACACGAAAACCTCCCTCTTCAGTAAATTACAAGGTACTAAGATCTTCCATAGATGCCAGTAATTGATAACCCATTTTAAGAGTTCCCATCGAAAGATGCTGTTATCTTCCTTTTGGAACAAGAAATGAAATCTCTGCTTAGAAAACAATTCCAAAGAACCCACATTCAAGAGAGTAGGAAGAAATACAAGGAAACTACGGTGGAACTTTCACTGATCAAATCAGTAGTTACCCTTAAAAACTGTTTAAGTGGTTTTTCTAAGCTTTAGCTATAAGGCAACTAATATATATATATATATAAATATATATTTATATATATAAATATGTATATACACACACATATATAAATATTTATATACACACATATATATACACACACATATATATAAGTATATATATGGTGCAAATTTAACTTTCAGAGATTAACTACAAGAAGAAAATTAGCATTAGTTGTACTAAAGGCACAAGGAATAAGTTATTAGTACTAATCCCATGATTAAGGGATTCTGTAATGGCTTCGAGTTGTCAATCAGCCGAAACTGTGATTCAAGAACAGCATGAATTGAAAGGACTTATATTCATGGGGGGAAACAAATTTATTTAAATGCATTTTACTTTACTCAATCTGACACTGAGTGATAATACTGATACAATTCCATGAGTTGACTGAAGAGGAGAGAAGAAGGCGAGAGGGAGAGAGCTCCTGGGAAAGGCTGGAGGGAGCAAAGGGATGAGGTCCACTGGTCCACACGGTTCAGATGCAGAACTTCTAAGCATTTCCCCCAAAGACTAATCCTAAAAGTGTGAAGATACAGAAATCCACATGAATGACCATGACCATGGGTGAATAGGCCTCCACCACTGATTTCTGTGGGAAGACACAATTCTACCCTCTAAATCACAACTACTCCGACCTGAGGGAAACTGTCCAAGATATTTGCCACACAAATGCCTCAGAATGAACGTGATGTGGCAGCCTTGACCTGCAGTGCTGCCCGACAGCTGAATATGTGGTTATGCTGGGGAAACGTGGTAAAAAAAAAATAATCATGGCCTTTTCCAGTTTTTCCAACATTTTAGCCAAGTGTCTTTGCAAACCAAACAATGAACTTTAACTTTGCAAGGTCACCTACACAGTTGATGAGAGAATCAATAATGAGTACCTTGGAGTCTGTTTCTTGTCACACTAATACTTGGTGAGTTCCTTTGTGGAGCGTTTTCTGTGGACAGAGTGGTGATGTGGAAAGAAGCCCATGTGAATAGGCTTCGTCTCCTCCATAAGGACAACTCTGACCCCTTAAGCCTTTTCATTTCTCATAAAATGTCAATTCCGACTGGTTTATGTAGCCTCGTATTATCACCTCTCTAACCAAAAGGTATTTTAAAAGACACCATAGCACAGAAGCAACAACAGGCATCATTTACCAAACACATCTTATACGTTAAGTACTGTGTCATCTCATTTAATTCTCACAAAGCATGTATATTATAACTGATAGCACACTATCCTGAAAAATAATTGTTAAAAAATCAGATTTGCAATGTTAGGCTGATAGCGGTCAGAGGGTGAGTTCAGTAAATCTGGTCTGTTTCCAGAATTAACAATAGCAACTACTTTTTTTTTCCTTTGAGCATCTAATACATGTCAGGCATTTTGTATAAATCTCTCAAATCTCAGAGCAATTCTGCAAAATGGAATAAGACTACTCAGTTTGCAGAGGAGGAAACTTAGGAACAGAGGGATGAAACAACTTGCCCACCATGTACACACTAGAAGGAGGTCACAGAGCCACGATTTAAACCCAGACCTGCAGGATCCAAAGACTGTGCACTTTCCACAAGACGAAAACAGGCCCCAAAATGCATCTTTTTGCTTATTACATTTTGTGCCAGTGTCAGGAATTTTTTCCTATCTGGGGGAAAAGTGGCCTTAAAAATCACAACGTGGAAAGGAAGCTTGCAGATACATGGAAACAATTGCTTCCATTTTGGTGATGGTAGTAATTAGTTCTTCCAGTTTTAGGACTGGAAGATTTCTTCTTATGTACAATGCAAATCACAGTCTCGGTCATGATCAGGATCATGGTCCTTTAGGCCAAAGAAAGATCAAAATTTTATGTATGGCTCAATTTTAAAAAATAAGTAAGACCTATGACCTGAATTTCTACATTCAACCTTCCTACTCTAAATGGATTTTTCCTGGTTTGAATTTTTACTTATCTTCTTTTTCAATGTTATAACATACTTTTAAGAAGCTAAGTTGCCTTAAATCCCCTCTCTACACACCAACTATTCTCAAACTCCTCAACTAAGTCAAGAAGAGAAGGCCAGAATTGAGAATTCTTCACCATGTGACAATCTGGACACAAACCTGCCTATGAGCGACAGCAACCCTCAGGCAGAGGTTCTGTGTCACTCCTGTTTCAATGCAGGAAAAGGTAGATGCATTATAGCTCGTTCACCTCCCCACAGCTACAGCATGCTCTTGCCCATCCTTATACTTGAGACCAAAAGAATCCTACCAGGGACTATGAACTTGACTGTGCAAAACAGCACAGCACAGGGGCCTGAAAGAGGCAGCACTGAACTAACCAGCAGAGATGAAGAGGTATCACGATCTCTGCCACCCAAGCAAAATCACTTGGATAATTAATCCCCTGGGTGACGGTAAAAGTACCTACTAGAGTGAAATGAAAATGTAGGATGTATGGCCTTCAGGTCTGCAGTTTAAATAAGAAGGAACAGACGGAGTGTTATCAAGGCTGACAGTGAGAGGCACTTCTGGCCCTTATGTAAGCCTTTGCTCACTAGGCCCCATGCGCTCCAGCCACAAAGGCATTCCTGTAGTTACTCAAAAAGGCCAGGAACGTCCCTGTCCCAGAAATGCCTGAAATGCAATCCCTCTGCCTGAAATGCCTTTTCTTCCATTCTCCAATAGTGAGCTCTTTTTACGTCCCAGAGAGGCCTTTCCCATCTGCTCCCTGTGCATTTCCTTTATGGTACTTATGATGACCAGCAATTTATTTTTTAGTTGTTTTAAACTGTGTGTGTGTGTGACGGGGGTCTCCCCAATTAGAATATAAGCTCTATAAAGGTAAGGATGTGTCTGTCTTGTTCCGCATTTAAACCTATGCTTGGTACACAAAGGTACTAGGAAAAAGATAATAATAATATTTAATGAATAAACAAATGTGGTACTATTCTATCAGCTAGAAACATCCTCTGCCATTTCAAAATGATCCCATATTCAAAACTCACAGACACACATGGAGTCAGCAGGACTGGTAAGAACAATAACAGGAACAATCTCAACAGCATTAAAGAGTCCCCGGCTATACGCTTTCCACAGATTTTCTCTAGTCTCTACAACCATACCAGGTGGGGATGGTGGTCCCCTTAACTGAGAAAACAGTGACCCAAGAGGATTAAGAGACGTGCCCAGGTACACAGTTGGGGGTATGGGCAGCAGAGCTGGATCTTGAAATGTGGCCTGACTCCAAAACCCATGCCCTCACTGGTAGTTAATGTTATCTGTAAGATGCACCAAAGGGTCTAGAACAGCCTAGAGGTGAAGATGGCTGTGAAGGCTGCAGTGAGTGAGAAATCAGCCCTGAGCTCAGGGAGCTGAACACGCCCTGGGAGAACCAGTGTCCGCCAGAGGGAGCCGACTCCAGGTGTACACAGCCGCTCAAAGCCATCACTGATGTTGAAAACTACCAAGAAAAAGAAAGAAAATGGGAAGAATAAGGGGAAAAAGGAGACCGGGAACTCCAGTTTGGGTGTTTACGACAATTATCTCTTTCTTACAGGAGTGAAATTCCAGGAATAAACTACCATTAATTATGGATCATGTGTCAGGTACTGTAGGTTTGATATTTCACCAGGAAGTCATTTAATTTTTATGACACCTCACTTAGAGTAAAGGAAAATGAGTTTCAGAGAATTGAATTCTCTTGTGCAGGGACACACAGCTGGAGAGACACAGGATTTGCTCTAGGTTTCTTGATTGGAAGGCTTCTGCTCTATTGCACAATGCTGCCTCACCCGACCTGTGTGTCTGCTTATCTGTACATTCGGTGAGACGAGGAAATACCTCCAAATTCAACCAAGAGGAAGGAGAATGTAAAATTATAGAAAAAATCAACTTCAGGGGGGAAGATGGCTTTTATAACGGAACAGTAATACAAAACCCTAAGGTACAGAACATTATTTTTCTTGCAGCTCTGACCTATTAGTTTCCCACTGGCATTGACTCAACAAGTAAATATTGGGCAATTTCTATTGTACTAACAAGGCTGATCTTTAATACTTGTGTTACTAAGCTGAACTGAATAGTAAGGCAAACACCAGGCTTTTAAGTAAAGAACATGAAGCAACAAACACCACTTGCTAAATCAATATTAGGTGTTTTGTCACTCACAAGTAATGACAAAACAGGAGGTAATGATTTCCTGCTTTTGTAATTTCCGTGCGTTTGTACAATCACACCACTATCAGGTATAATGATATGCTGGGAACAGTCTTGCACGTTACTAGAGTGCCTGATAATTTATAATATATTCAGAGACCAATGGAGCATCCTGTCTGTACAGACATGACCACCTTTTATGTCACATTCAACGAAAGGAAAAAGATATTTAATAAAATGCCAAGATTTTTTTACGCTAATGTGCGTATAAGAAGGAACGTTTATTTGAACATATTTCTATGCCTCAAAAATGGTGAAGTCAGTACAACATTTATCATAGATAACACTATTACCCATGTAGCAATTTCATAAATACTAAAACGTAGAGGGTACAATTTCAAAGATATTAATAAAAATTAAAGATGATGAGTTATAAGCAGGTCCTGACCATTCCATACTACCTCCACTTCTTGAAACCCTTCCTTCCCTGGCTCGCCTAGAACAAGAGCCCTTCCTCTTGATTGCTCTTTTTGTCTCTTTTGCTGGCAGCTCTTCCTCTATCACTAATTGTGGAAGGTCCCCGAGGTCTGTCGTAAGTCTTTCTCCTTTTCTCATTCTATGTTCATCACCCAAAGCACACCCACAACATAGCTTATTTATCATCTATGTGCACATGGCTCCCAAATTAGCATGTCCAGCTCCACCTTCTCTTTTGAATTCCAGATCTATAAGATGCACTGTCTGCTTGACCTTTCCTCTTGGGAATTCAATGTGTATAAACTTTTCCATTCCTTTGCCTTTTCCTCACCCTCCCCTGAAATACCTTGTGTCCTTAACTAGTGTTTTCTGTCTCAAATGATGTCACTGTCCAAGAGGCAGACCAAGTAAAATCCTGGAGATAATTCTTGACTCTTCTCCTTTCACTCACCTTCATAGCTAGTTTATTCTTATTAATCAATTTATTTATTACCATTTATTTCACCTTCCAGGTATCTCTGAAACCCATTCTCACCTCTCCTGTACTTTCAAAGCCCTCCTCCAGGCTATGGTCACCTGTCCTGCAGTCTATTACTACCATAGCTCCCGAACTGGTCCATATATGTCTATGCTGGCCTCCCTAAAATCTTTCCTCAACATTGTCGCCATAGTGATCTTATCAAAATGCAAATCTGATATTACCTCCCTCTCTTTTACCAGAATCTTTAAATACCTTCCTATTACTCTTAGGAAAGAGTCCACAGCCCTGGATAGGGCCTGTACGGTCTGGCTGCAAGGTCTGGTTTCCAGGTTCTCAGCAGCCCCATATCACCCCGTGCTCCACTGACTCTCAGGGCATCACCACCCACCTGTTAGGCTCAAAGACATCATGTTCCATCCTGTCAAAGGGCTTTTGCACTCAACTGTTTTGCCTCCCTAGAAAATGCTTCTCATCTCCTTGTAGTGTACTTAATTTTGAGTCACTATTTAGGTCTCAGCTCAAGAGTTATTTCTTCAGGAAAGCCTTCCCTAACTATGCCAAATCCCCTATTTGGGCTCTCTTACACAGTGCCTGTAACAGCTTTAATTTCACATTTGCTTATGTCATTATTCAATTATAATCTGTCTCCCACCGTAGACTATGAGTTCCAAGACAGCTGAAATTTACTGACTATTGTAACCCTAGCACCTAACACTGTTCCTAGTACACAAGAGATTGTCAATAAATATCTTCAAATAAATGAATGAATTAAAGTCTCAAACTCAGGACTATTATTACTGAAAAACAAAAACTAAGACTACAGTTAGCGTATTGGTATGTCAGAGACATATGAAGAGAGACTATACAAAGACACTGGTCTACTATAGCTCAAAAGGAAAAGTGAAATTGAACAGTATGACTTCGAGATTCCTTTAAAATAGACTCTGAAAAGAAAGACACGGAAATAAACTTGCATAAGAGCTGTATGCATGGGCTTCCCTGGTGGCGCAGTGGTTGAGAGCCCGCCTGCCAATGCAGGGGACACGGGTTCGTGCCCTGGTCCGGGAAGATCCCACATGCCGCGGAGCGGCTGGGCCCGTGAGCCATGGTCGCTGAGCCTGCGCGTCCGGAGCCTGTGCTCCGCCAACAGGAGAGGCCACAACAGTGAGAGGACCGCGTACCGCAAAAAAAAAAAAAAAAAGAGTTGTGTGCTTACCCACTGTCGGTGAACAGGAACTCCAAATGGGTCATGAAAACTTCCCAACAGGAGACACTGTAGCGCTGGGCCAGAGAAAGAGCAATGCTGTAGACGTTCTCCTCAAGCGTCCTTCACGAACGTCCATCAGCCAGAGGGGAAGGGGGAGGAGAGAAACACATGACCTTAATCAGCAAAGAAGACGCTCGTTAGGACCGCTCTCCAGCTGACAGGGGTGCAGTCAGCACAGTCCTTAATAAGACATTTCACAGTAAGTCAGGAAAAGTACACGGAAGGAATTTGAATGCTCTTTTTATCTCTGTGGTGCATTGCAATTGACCAAGGAATTGTCTAGATCCGTGGACCTCAACCGAGGGGGATTCTGTCCCCCAGGGGACATTTGACAATGTCTGGAGACATTTTTGAGTGTCACAGTGGGTGAGGAAAAGGAGAGAGCTGCTGGCATCTAGCAGGCAGAGGTCAGCGAGGCTGCCGACCATCTACAATGCTCAGAACAGCCTTCCCACAACAAAGCATGACCCCGTCCAAAATGTACTGAGGTCAAAAAATTCTGATCTAGATACCGGAGCCTACAGTCAAAAAGCAGTAGAAAGGAAAGGGATCCCTACCCTACAGATAGATATTTGAGAAAGCACAGTTAGTCACTCAACAAATTTTTGTTTTCTACATTGGGCCAGCTACTATCCTAGCTGCTGAGGACATAAAAACAAATAAGATATTTCTTGAGGAACTTACAGCCTAATGGAGGATGTGAAATGTGAACCAGGAATCAAACAGAATGTGGGGAGTGCTAAAAGAAATGCTACAAAATACTGTGAGGATGGAGACGAGAGAGTGACCAATCTGAGCTGAAGATCGGAGAGTAAACAAGGATTAAATAAGTAGAGGCTGTAAAGAGGGAGAAGAGACAGATGGGCTTCTGACATAGGAAGCAGAAGGGGGCGTGGTGTCACAACCATGACCATACAGGCCAGCTGAAGGACCTGTATCTTATCCTGTAGGCAATGGAGAGTCAGTGGAAAGTTTAAACCAGGGAATGGTATCATCAGATTTGAGAATCTCTATGCATATAAGGAATTCTGGTCCAGAGCACCTACATAAAGGCCATTTTGGTAAGACTACTGCAAGACCCCTATTTCCCAGAAGTAGAGGAAATATAAGGATGGAATTCTTGGTTGGAAGAATGGTGGACAAAACCACAGAAACGGGAATGAAATACCTGTTATCATTAAGTAATACTGCTAAGACTGTACTTACCCCAGCTAAGGAAGCCAGGACATTTATGCATTTGATCAGCCTGGAGTTGGCAAATGTTTTCTGCGCAGAGCTCGACAGTAAATCTTTTAGGCTTTACCACCATACAGTCTCTGTAGCATATTCTTCTTTCTATTGCTTTTTATTCTTGTTTTTCCACAAAGCTTTAAAAATGTAAAAAACATTCTATGCTCATAGACTATAAAAAAAGAGGCCAAGGACTGGGTTAAGTCTGTCAATGCCTGGATTATTAGGTAACTGTCAAAAATTATTTCTTGGGCTTCCCTGGTGACACAGTGGTTAACAATCCACCTGCCAGTCCAGGGGACACAGGTTCTGAGTCCTGGCCAAGGAAGATCCCACGTGCCGCGGAGCAACTAAGCCCGTGCGCCACAACTACTAAGCCTGTGCTCTAGAGCCCGCGAGCCACAACTACTGAGCCCACGTGCCACAACTATTGAAGCCCGCATGCCTAGAGCCTGTGCTTGCAACAAGAGAAGCCACTGCAATGAGAGGCCCTCACTCCGCAATGAAGAGTAGCCCCCACTCGCCACAACTAGAGAAAGCCCGTGTGGAGCCACGAAGACCCACCACGGCCAAAAATAAATTAATTAAAAAATTTTTTTCTTAAAGTACTCATTGAATACCAATATCCACGTGATAGATGAGAATTCCTGGAGAATAGGAACCATTAGCAGCTCACTCTTCCTATTGTGGGAGTCTGGCACAGTGCCTGACACCAGGTACATGCTCAGTAAGTATTCACATCTTTATTATCTGATAAAAGTAGGAACTAACCAAACTATACTCTGTTCTCCTCAAAGTCACCCTAACCACTGAGAATGTAATCACTAAGATACAGAGACGACAGAGGACAACTATAATGCACTCACAGAAAACAACTGCCACTAAAGGGACGTACAATTAGGAAGAGAATAAAGAATGGTCACATCTGAAGGTGGAGCCGCAGAACAGAAGGAAGCGGGTCCTTCGAGGATCCTTGTATGTGAGGCACTAAAATGCCATCTCCAAGTCAGAACTGCTAACTCAGAAAACCCACAGACACTCTGAGACATTTTAAACAAGCCATCTAAAGACTGCTGTGTATTTTTCTAACCAACAGATTGTGGAGAAGATTCTATTATATATTTATCAAAAGCATATGTTTGTCCTCAGGACATACTTCAAATAGCATATGGCAGCTGGATACTTAAAAAGAAAAGACAAAGACCAAAAGCCAAATGTAAGGCGCGCCTTAACGACTTTTATTCTGCATAGTAACCTCTCTTCTAAGAAACCATGAGCATGGCACCAAGGATTACCAAATGTGACCTTGAACAATCCTTTAAAGCTCTGTGGTTCTCAGATTCCTCTTCCAAAAGTAAGGAGGTTGGATTAAATGATCTCTTTGGTCACTTTCAAATTGGATATTAAATGACCCTATGAAATTATGAACCTCCAGGAGAACAGAGGGGAAGAGAAAAAAAAATTCTATTATTTCTCTTCTTAACTTAATTCTGCTATAGGTTGTTCCTACCTCTTGCTTTGATCTCTCTGTTCCCCGCCTCACTCTAAAGAGAATCTGGGGTGTCTTCTAGTAGGAAAGAAGCCCAGGCTAATATAAAACTATTACAGAGTACCAAGGTTACTTTGCCACTTTCTTTAAGATTTAAGAATAATGATGAAAAATAGCATATACCACTACCATAACCAAGCCTATCTTTGTTATTTTAAGGTAACTTATCAGGAGAGAGAAATAATCGTTAAACGTAAGCACAATTTAACCTCGTTTCAAGGGCTGGAAGCCTAGACTGAACTGCACACCAATGCTTCCTTGAGAATTCAATCCAGCAGTGTGGGGAGGGCACATGGTGTGAAGACGTGATGCCTTTGGCATGTGGCAGATCAAGGTTAAAGTCGCAGTTGTGATCTTTACCACCTATGTAAACTTGGGCCACTTACTTTATATCAATGAGCCTCACGTTCTTCAGCTGTAAGATGGGGATAACAACATTTTATGTCATACGGTTATCTTTAAGGGTTAAAAGATGTTTATAAAATAAAGTTTACAGAGCACCTAACACAGTTCCTGGCCCATGATAAGCACTCCACAAATTGGGGTGTTAAAAACAAAACATGCCTCTAACTTAATAACCACTGTGGGTGAACACACTTTAAAAAACATTTTTTTTTTCACTTTCCCACCATGTGACATGTAATTCTCATTTGATCTGAACTCATCTGATCTAAAACAAAAATGAGGACGAGTATGAAAACCAAGGGGAATTCCATACCTAGAAAGGGACCTTCCCAACCGTACCGCCATCTCACACAACGGCTTGCTTTTCTCTTGAGAGCGGTAAGGGACAAAGGAAAGAACGGCAGCTGCCACAGGCCTCGAACAAGAAAGTGCTCAAGCGGTTAGCTCTTCTTTCTCTAGAAACCCAGGACAGATAAAGGTGTCCTGGACCCATAACACTCAGTCCCTCCTCTTGTACTAAGTCAACGGTACCTAACTTTTAACATACTGAGGAAATTAAACGGCCATGTAGTAGCAAAGTGAGACTCTAGCCAGGAATAAAAGGGAATCTTGTTTTTAAATTTCTATAGTAAGCTTGACACTTTTCACCCCTGACCACACTCTATCACCCCTAACATGGTACTGGTATTGGATTATCAAAATCATGGGAAGCTTTTTAAATAATTCCCATCCTTACTACTTAAATCTGCAGGCTCAAAATACCGTCTGCATCACTAACCCATTTGGGAGGACACACACATCCCTCACAGGACAGGAAGAAGCAGGGGAAAGTCCTTTTTATAGCAGCCATGAATGTGAACCTTCACAGGACTGTGATTAATAGTCCTGGTAACTCAACTTGTTCTTGTACGTTCTAAATCCATCCCTTTACGAGACGAGGGTATTCCTTACTCTGCCAGACCGAGGATGGTTTCCCGTTTGTACTGGTCATCTGCAGTAAACCGTTGCACATCCACACCCTTCCGCAGGCCCTGGAGGATCTGAGCCTGAGTGAAGTCCAGGAGGCGCTCGTTGTAGTACTGTAACTGCTTGGTCAGTGCAGCGAGCTCCTCGGGCCAGGCTTCCTGTCCGTATCGAGTCACGTGCCTGGTGACCATCTTGATTAGCTCTTTGGGATCGGCCTGTGAGTAACAAAAAGACTAATTAAAAAAAAAAAAAAAAAAAAGAGTAAAGTGGGAAGAAGATCATGTCTGCCGGGCACCTGTTTGACCCTTCACACCGCTGCCATTTAGTCCAGGCTGACAACCACCCTGAGGAGGCAACTGCAGAGGCGGTGCGTTTTGCAGACCACAAAGACGGGACACAGAACTGACTCTAGGAGCGGGTTTCTGGACTCCTGCTCTGCTCTTCCACCTTAAAAATCACCACCCACTTAAAGAATAATGTATGCTTGCTTTTTCAACTACCATCACCCTATACCAGATCTCTTCCCCAATTATCTGATCATTTATAATAATTCACCCTGGAAGTAATCTTTATCATCATTGCCCCTAGATAAATTTCCTTTGGACCATCTAAGTGTTCTCAATAACAAAGAGCTGCAGTTCAATGATTCCACGAGAAATGCCTAAATAGCTAAGTAGAAGAATGTTTTCTCCAGGGATAAGTGAGGGGAAAAAGCCCCATCCCTGCTCCTGAAATCATAAATTTTTCTAGTTTCATAAGAAAGTACGCAACCAATTTTTACTCTGCTCAATTTGGGGCTCAATGGGATAGTGTTCCTTAAATCTAGCAGCTTCTTTAACAGCAGTACAATTATTCCAACAGAACAAAACCCAGAACTGAACGGCTGACAGGAAAGGAAAATAAGTGGTTAACCAACCACAATTATTTATATTAAAGTTGGTCCGGGTGTCCACAAAGCAACAGCAAAGCAGCCATGATTCTGGAGTTACCTAATATGTGAACAACATGAACTCAATCCCTCCCAATTTCTGGGAAAATACGGCGCATATTTTAATACCAGCAAATTAGGAAGAAAACTCCAGAAATCTACCTTTGGTTCTCAGAAACACGTCTAATTACCGTAAGCCATCAGCATTGCTAATGTGTAAGCCATTATTCTGAGCTACACACGAGATTTGTCAATGTCGAGTCCATATTACCTAACCTAGCCTGACATTCTCTCTCGATCCTGTTAAGGAACAATCTGGGAGTACCGATAAAAACCAATTAAAGAAATCTTCTTGGATTCCAGCAGGTGGATTTAAGAAAAAGTCAACCTTACTCAACTTCTCCCCTACCCCTAGGCAGACACTGAGTCTGCCTGAGACAGAGACACTGAGATACGTGTCTCAAGTCAAAAGACGTGCGTTTGAAAACTAATGCTCTGAAGTAAGCAGCTATAAGACCATCTGTCATTCATTCAACAAGTATTTTTTGTGCACCTATTATGCACCAGGTGATGTACTAAGATGTGACCCTTTCCTCCAAGAATTCAGTCTATGAGGAGAGACCATCAAGCAAACAATTATAAAATGGTGTGATACAAGTAAGCACAGGGTGCTATGGGAATACAGAGGAGTGGGACTTGGGCACGAATCAAGGAGGTCTTCTTGGAAGAGTTAATTTCTAGGCTAACTGCTCAGGTATCAGAAGTAAAAAGGCCAGCAAAAAAACAGGGAGACAAATTCTGGTAAAGGGGAGAGTATGCGCTAAGCCTGGATGCCTAAGACCTGATGGGAAGATGGAGTGAATAAAGCTGATCTAACTGCAATAGGAAGATTTGGGAATAAGCTGCATATGGCTGGTACTTCTGGAAACGGATATAGGCGAAGGAGACCCCATGCCTCAGCCAACCCCCTCCTACTTACGGACTGAAGCCCAGAGGCACCACCCTGAACCGCCGTTCGGGGCAAAGCCCCCTCTGAAGCTGTCTGGTATAGGGATGCTGCTGGGGACCAGCCAGCCTGTCTACACCTGCTCTGCACCCTGGTGTGCTCTGTTGTTGCCTTCTCTTCTCACACCTCATCCAGTTAGCACTTGCCTGCCTAGGAAGAGAGAGAGCAGGTGCAAATATCCAATGATCAGGGTTTCAGGGCAGCAGGAGAGCTCTTCTGTAGGTGTTCTTTCAGGGAACTCTTTGGGTCGGTTTTGCACTCCGCCAGCAAACCCACGTTCATCAAAACTGTGAGGAAGGCTTCTTTCCATATACACTCTGACCCTGTGGTTTCAGGCGAAAGTCCTGCCTCCAGTTGCCCAGCGCGCTTTGAGGGAGAGGCTACAGCCAGGCCGTCCCTCTCTGAGTGTGACTCCCACCCCCACGCATGCAATCGACCACCTCCCCTCGCCCAAGGGTTTCTCACAGCTATTGCTCCACATTCATGTTTTTACTGTTTGCTTTCTGGCATCTCAAGGACTTGGTCCCTGTATTGGGAGAGTGGACTATATATGTGATCTCATTTCTATTCTCTTTGTATTCTAATACCATTTATGAAACAAATCCCCAAACCAGGTAGAGGGTTAATCTCCAAAATGGCAGCACAGAGCAATAATGAGCATAAATACTGATATTTACATTGGCTTTTCTTTATCTCATAGAGAGCTTCAAGTCTCCACATACAACCTTCATTTTCGTATGTGGCAAAAAATACCTATTCTCTCCTTTTACGAATGAAGAAAATGGCATGGCAGAGTGTAATAAGCGTGGACACAGAGAAGTTACTAGCTGACCTTGTGCAAGTTACTTAACAACTTCAAATTTGATTGTCTCATCTATAAAATGGCAATATATATAGCTTGCATGGCTTCACAAAGCTTAAGAGACCATACACACACACACACACACACACACACACACACACACACACATACACAATACACAAACCAAGACCTGGCCTTTAGCAGGTGCTCCAAAAATGAAAAGGATTATGGAGTTTACTCAAAGGTATACACCAGTTACACTTTAATTGCACCTCTACTGCATACTTTACACTGCATTCTCTTATAAGTATTAAAACACAGCTTCCAGCAGGCAGAGACCATGGGTACTTAGTGGATTTGTCTTTCCTAGAGCACATTAGAGTTTCTTGAACAAGTCAGGTGTGGAGTAAAACGGAGACACACTGAACAGCAGTTGTAGCTTTTAAGTTAGTAATACTAGTTTATATTCCAGATCCTTCATTTAGCAGAGATGCAATTTGGGGCGAGTTACATCATGTCTCTGTTTCCTCATCTATAAGAGAGTCAACAAGCACACCATCCTCGAGGTTTGTTGGGAGGCACAAACAAAATATTTTTAAATGTCTTTTTCTCTCTTATTATATGAAAGCAAATTGGGCCCAGCGCTTACTCCCAAGAAACTAAAACTAGTGATTGTCAAAGATGTACACATAAACAACTCACAGAAGGCACCTGAATATAAGAACCATTATAGAAACACAAACAAGAATGCTGGAAACTCCTTAGAGGGAGCAATGGACACTCCTGACTCTTCTGGGGCTGTTTCTTCAGATGTAGAGCAAAGGAGTCTCACAAGATGATCACGTTTCTAGGGCTAAAATCCTATGAATGTATAAGAACTCAATCATGAAAATAAAATAAAGCCTTGTAAATCCCTCCAGGTGTGGAACTGGGGAAGTTCTACATCTCATCTCATTGATGCCTCCACTAAACATCAGAACAGATTTCTTTGTTAAAAATACAATTTCAGACCAACAAATTATAACCAGTAGGTCCCTACACAGTTTAAACAACTTTCATACCTTCTCCTTTACTAAGTAGAAATTGTCTAGCCCCTCTGAATAATTTTTACTTCACATTCTCTGTGTTCACTTTTCTAAGAAATATTTAAGAACAAATACCTAATATTTCAGTCTTCGGTATGGAACGGACATAGTGCCAAATACACATGAACTGAATCTCATTTAATACTAACAATCTTGGGGGGCCAGAGTCTACTAGCACCATCCTCTTTAAGATGGGTAAGGAGGCGAGTAGCTTGACTAAGGCCATTCAGGGTAGGTGGCAAGGCAGGATATGACTCCCAGGCATAATGTTGCCCAAGAACCAGCCTTTTATATTTGTTGTGCAGGGGGGATATCTCTTAAAATTGTAAGAATCTTGACAAGATCAATGTACACACAGCTCCCACCAAATGTACATGAGATCTGGCATTTGAGTCCTTTTACAGATGATCAACTTTCAATGATGGCCTTAATGCTGTCATTCTATATTACATCAGGACTGACCTATTTTTTTAACACACACATTCTCCCTCTCATCCCTTTTACACATATACACACATGTGTAAATACAAATGGTCACAGAGGACACACCATGGTAGATGTTCAACTGGAGATCCTGGTTTGAGCTGTGTTTCCAAGCATTCTGTCTTCTCTAAGAATAACGGAGAGAGATTTAGAACAGAAAGAATTTAGAATATCATTTTCTGTTCAACCTCTTGATATAAATATACCTCCTTTTAAATTTCCATCCTAATAAGGTGGTGAAAAGGGGCATTCTATTAATTCCTTGATGATAGGTCTTCAAGGTTATGGATCAAACATTTGTTAAATGTGTAGGAATATTTTCAATACTTATTTATTGGTAAAACATAATACTAATTCTTTCAAAATCTTCCCAAAACAAAGAGCATTAGCTATGAGGAAAAAACACAGGAATTGGCATCAAAGAACCTGGATTGCTGGTTCTTCCTTCCTGAGCGTCAGGTTTTCCATTATGAAAATTGAGGCAATTTCTCTCTGATACACTCTTCACAGAGACTGAATGAGAGTAGATGGATGGACATGTTGTAAGTTCCGGCTTTCCATGCAAATTTCTCGTCTTACCATCATCACTACTAGTTTCTACCCCTTCCTTCAGGAACTTTACTGGTCATGATTACTTCCAATGTATGACTTAAATTTTAATAATAATTCTTCCCCTGAGCTTATCACAATTTCTCTAAAAATATTCCAAAAGCATCCTCTACTCAGCCCAACACTTCATTTCATACATTCATTCATTCACGGCACAAGTGTACTGCATTAAAGTTTCTAAAGCACTTTCACATGATTTTCATTTGACCCTCATACCAACCCAGTGATGGGCACAGGAGACTGCTGTTGCTGTTTTACAGATGCCAACCTGCATGGAAGGCATCCTGAGCTGGGGTCCGGCA